AATAATAATAATAATAATAATAATAATAATAATAATAATAATGCACAAAGGACACTGTACAATAGAAAAAAGTAAAATGAAATTTTAAAAAACTGTAGATACCATTGAGAAGGGTAATGTGGGAGAAACAGAAATGTGGAATACAGAACAGTCATGCAATAAAAGTTCAATAATGTAGACAAATTGAACAGTAGGGTTGCGGGGGAGAAACATCGAAGTGAGGACAACAAAAAGAGACATATATTGAAAATCAGAATTAACAGTTGTAAGAAAATTCRTATTCAATAAACTGAAGTCGATATTAGAAACACAATTGTTAAATAAAATGATTTGTAGAAGGAATTAAACCTTACAACACCAGAATTCTGGATCTGAGTGAGTTTTATTGTCGCTAAAGCTGACAGGAAACCAACACTCCCAGAAAACCAGGAAGTTCATGTATTTATACACCTTCTTCAATGCCTGCGTTCGCCCCCTACTGACCTACGGCTGAATCACAGGCATTCAGACAAAATCCTCAGCTAACGTCATCTCAACGTTTAATTATGTGTTGTTACATATTTCGGACATGTAACTGAACCTATTTCAATCAAAACATAATAGATTAAACACTGTCAACATAACAAAAAGGAAAACCTAAGAATACAGTGTTGTGATTTTAACATCAGTACTAACCTCTAATACCTTTAAATTTCTTCTCATTGATGAAGCTGGCTTGTCCAAATGTGCTTTAGCATACCTCAAGCACCTCTGTTTGTGATGTGAGTGGAGAAAAAGCTTCCTCTGCATCACTCTCACATACTGTACAGCATCTCATTGTGGATAGTGTGCTGAATAGTTGATCGATGCACAGTGACTCCATCAGCAGCAAGATGATGTTGTAGGTCTTTGGTGCTGGTCTGTGGGTTGACTCTGACTGTTCTCAACATCCTTCGCTTCTGTTTATTGGAGATTTGTCTTGCTCTGCCACTTCGATCCTTGACTTGAACTGTGCCTGTGTTCTTCCATTTTCTTACAATGTTTCTCACAGTGGAGACTGAAAGCTGAAATCTCTGAGATAGCTTTCTGTATCCTTCCCCTAAACCATGATGGTGAAAAATTTTGTTTTCAGCTCATTTGAAAGTTGTTTTGAAACTCCCATGCTGTGACTTTTCAGAGAAGATGCAAAGAGGGGAAAAACCTACTATTGCCTCCGTTAAATGCCCTTTCTCATATTTGAAGTCACCTGTGTATGGATGTCAATGGTCAGTGAACTTACCAAACCAAATTTAAGTTCCAATAATTAGTTCTAAAGGTTTTGAAATCAATAAAATGGCAACGGTGCACAAATGAATGCACCTGCCTAATTTTGTTTAACCAATTATTGCACACTTTCTGTAAAACATATAAACTTCCTTTCACTTCTCAAATATCACTGTGTTTGTCCGCTATAAGATAATTTTTACAGATTTTTTTTATCCAAACAATCAAGGATTAATAAAGGTAAATCAGGAAAATTAACAAGCGTGCCCAATTTTTTTCATGTGACTGTATTCATCATCATCATGACTTCCTCCTTCTTCTGTGCATTTGAGTTTGTTTGATGTTGGCACATTCACAGTTTTCCACCGACTGATGAAGCTCTGAACTTCTTGCGCATTCAGCCTCTCTAAAATGTACTTTTTAGAGCCAGTCCTCTGACCTGGTTCCATGTTCTGCTCCAGCTCTTGATGTGATTCTCCTCTAAATGCTCCTCAGGTGAAGCTCCTGAAAAACCAAAGAGAAACTCAAAACTTCCATCAGAGACAGTAGTCCTGCTGGTTCTCTGTGTCCTGCTGGCTGCTGCTCTCATCATTATTATCAGACTCTGTGAGTTTACAACATTTCATTATTTTTAGGTAAAAAATGTCTGCCATTTAACTTATCGAATCATCAAGTGTTGGACTTAATTTGATGTAAATTATAATTTATTTCAATCAGTTTTTGTCATTTTGGTGAGCAATGAATCTATCCAAACCCTGAGAGAGGAGAATGAAGCTCTGAGGAAAAACCTCTCAGGTGAGACAGTCAGGGACTGAAAGAGTCCACAAGGTTCAGACTGAAAGTCTCAGTCAGTTCTGACAGGACTCTTAATGTCTTTTCATAACTTTCAAATTCATTTAAACAGAAATGAGACTGAATTTAAATGCTTTTTATTGTTTTAAACAGAAATAACCTGGGGAGAGCAGCCAACATGTCCTCCTCCTCCT